AAAAGCTGACATTTTCACTGATGGAGCAGGTATGACAGGTTTTACCACAAAAACAAAAGCATTACTCAATAGTCTAATCCAACCAGGAGAGAGTCCTGGAGTTTCAAAAATATTCTTCAAATAGCTAAATATAACTAAGATTTTGTTTTATTTTAAACACGGGTGCTTTTTTTTTTTTTCCGACATACTGGACAAAACTTTCAAAGTAAAAGCTCAATGATGTTAAAAGGCACTAAAGAGTTCGTGAAATAGTCTGGGTTTTCAAAATAAAATATATTTATATACATTACACTGTACCTTGTCCATAATGAAAGCATGACATATTACCTTTGCAAAACCTGCACTGGAACACTCAATTATTTTTGTCAGAAATGTTATAGTTGTTTATTTATCCTTATATATCAGTGGCATGCGGTGAGGTTCATTATACATACAAATGAGTATTGCCCACACAACAGTCATAGTATGAAGGTAAAACTTTGCATGGCTTCATTACAAAAGCTATTGCAGCTTAAGAACCAGCTGATTCTGAGGAGGTCATGGGGAAACATTTCCAGATTTGGTTCATTTTGTATGTAAACATCCACAAATCAACAATCCTAAACACAACAAGCTGAAAGTCGATCATCTCCACGTCACTCGCGTGCCCACAAAAAGCGCATTTCATTAAAAAAACAAACAAACAAAAAAAAGTGATTGCAGTCTTACCTTTATTTATAAATGTAGTCTTAACAAACTAAGGTATAGACCTTACAAATTTAACAGAGAATCCAACAAACCAATGAAGCCTTTGGACTTCCTCTACTTTGGTAACAAAAAACACTGTACGTTATTATATACATCAGCTATCAGTTCATATATTAAATGTGTTTGTGTCATGTCTGTCAAGTTGCTGTTCATGTTTGCACATTGTATGTCTCGTCTTTCCTGTTCTATTTTGAAATCACGTCAACGGGTGTTTCTGTTCCAGTTTTACTTCCTGCACCTGTCTTGTTACACCTGTTCCCTGATTACCTCCCCGCACCTGTTTCCCATCTCCCCTCATTACCTCGTGTATATTACCTCGTGTGTCTCACTGTCTCGTCGCCAGTTCGTTGCACTTCTCAGTCCTCGTACCAGCATTGTCAAGTCAAGTCATAGTCTGTTTTGTTCACAAGCTCATTTCTGTTTTTTGGACCTTGCTTTTTGCCTGACGATTCCTGGATACTTCTGCCTTGTCTGACTGACCTACCCATGTACCGAACCTTGTTTGATATTGAACCTGATACTGAACCTATTCTGAGTCGAGCATTTGTGTCCACCTGTTCTGTGAGTGAGTTCATGACAGTTTGTTTGTGTTTTTTATTGTTTTTGTTTTTTTAAAATTACATACAGACAGCAGAACACTGTCACTGCATATGACTATGCCTACCTGCAGACAGGACTGGATCCTTCTACAGAGCATGTCTCTGAAGCCCAGTGACTATGGATGGACATTAGGTGTGCATGGGTATGAGCCAGTTCCACCACTAGACCCCATGGCTCCTGAGGAGCTACTGAAGTTCACGAGCTGTGATTATCATGGAGATTGCAGCAACCGGTGGTGCAGCTGCAAGAAGAATGGGGTGATGTGCATCTAGGCCTGTAGAATGGCATTACATGCAGAAACTTAAGTCATGATGTATTATATAAATCGATTTTTCGTCAGTCGTTTATCAGTACCCTTGCTTGAGCATGTTTTTTTTCAGGGTTTCCCACGGGAGTTGAACTTCAACATTTTAAAGCATGTTGTTAGACACCTTTACAAATATATTGGTGAAGAAACTGTTTGGTAACGATTTAGTTGGCAGATTTGTGAAATTGCTCATGAAAAAAGCCCTTACTCATAGCAGTCAGTACAGGTAGCCAAGGAGCAATTGCAAGGGCAATCCAAGGTGAGGATCAGCTCGCTGCTGCCTCACCGGCTTCTCTTCCAAGCTTCCAAATTGTGAAAATTCAGCGATTTTGAGGCTAAATGAAAAAGTAAATAATTTATAATACAAATCACTGGATAAATATAACCATTTAAATCATTTTCTCATTACATTTTTTTTTTTCTTTCCGTGATGGCAGGTGAGGCTGCTTCTTCACCTGCCTCCCCTGGACGCAAATCACTGATATATATATATATGTATATAAAACACTACATGAACAATGTAACAAGGAACTATTTGTGGTTATCATTGCCAAAAATCAGGACTTTAGATACCTACCCATACTTACTCTACAAAGGTGACCTCTTTTCGTGAAATGGTGCCACAATGGCTCCTCCATTCAAGAAAGAAAAGGAGGAAAATGAGTAGTGAGGGTGTTGTATGAAGGTGTGCTTTGTCAGTGCTTTAGTCTCCTTGCAAAAGAGGTCAAAGTTGCAAGTAGGGAAGAGTATGAGGTGCAGGAAGTGAATATGGAAAGTGACAAAACTGCGAACAGATTAAAGTGGAAAGTTTCCTCAATGAAAACAGTAGACAGTGGGAATCACTCTCTTGATCTGCAGTTTTTAAGGGATTTTTAAAAACCCAGTTCAGCTCAATTTGTATTAGATCCATTCTTTCCATCTGCAGGAGGTGGGGATCCAATTTTAGGATGGTGAGGAGATCAGAGTGACTCAGAAAAGTATGAAAGAAATGAAAAACAGGGCTGAATTCAAAGTGTTCCTACAATGAAACACTTACATGAGTTAAACAAAAAGTTTTTCAAAGTTGAGGGGGCGGGGCATGTCGCCCTCTGTTGGGGACGTGCGCGCTTTGAGGTGATGCGTATTCCTTTAGTCACCATCCATAAAGCGGATGAGGATGAGCCCGAAATGACTGGAGGGGACAAACCCTGACGAAGGTGCCGGTATTACGCAGCAGCAGCCGTAGGACAGGTGGCTGTCATCATCAGGAGAGGGCGAGATCGAAATGTCTGACATAAAAAATACAGCTGAGCGCAGAGAGAGAGAGAGGGAGGGGAGCTGAATCCAGAGTGACTTCTCAGGTGGCTGTCGACCCAAACTAAAGAAGACAGACATCGGTTGTGTGTGTGTGTGTTCGCGCCTGTGCGTACCCGTGCGTCTCTTCCAGCATCCGACAGGAGGAAAAGGAGAGACAGAGACAGAGAGGGAGAGAGAGATAGAGCAGCACCAGCACTCTGACAAAGCTGCGCTCCCTCCAAGTTTGACATCTCCGGCGGGATACAGAAGGAGTTCTGCTCCGTCGCTGCCATGGAGCCTCGGAAGCGCGCTGGATCTGTATTAATTGGCGTTTACCTGTGGGCAACGTTCTGCTGTCAAGGTGGGTCACTGGAGCTTTAGTCTCAGTACATGTAGACCAGTGTCAAAAGATGCCAGAAGAGACCGAGAGAGGCAAAAGAAACGCAGCTTGGGCACTTTATATTTGTGCCATTTGCGCGTCATTTACATAGAAATGTCTCAGAGAGATAAGAGCTGCTGCTGCGACAGACTTCGGCTTAGTTCGATAGCACATCTGGCATGAGAGAAACGTGTAATAATTGTAAAAAGCAATGCACATTGGAATATTTTGGTGGAAATGTTTGTTATAGTCATATTCATTTAGGAAGGTGATGTCATTTATCCATCTATATGCACATTATGGTTAATATTTGTGCTACACTGTATGCGCAAAGGCTGAATCCTGCAACATTGCGCACGCCATTGAGCATTCTTTAATAGACTGACAACATCTGGCTCACAATAAGGAGGGCGTCCCGGTGGTGATGTGAGAAGTCCATGGGGCCGTTCATCCTTCCAGTGTAATCTGCTGCGAAAGGATTGACTACAGTAGAAGTGGGCTAAAGGACCCTAAATCTCTGTAATATGTTTAAATCCTTTGTTATATTCTATATTTCTGCTCGGGAGCAGTTGCACTGACATGTTACTCATGCAGTCTTGTTTTATTGGTACTTTTAGGTATATTTACAATATCTGAGTGAAGCAGAAGGAGAGAAAAAAAAAAAGGTCTGGAGATAGAGGCATGTCAGATTTGAACAGCTAGTCTCAGAAGTAGATTAAACTATGCTGCAAATAGATTGGTCTGTGAATTCAGCCAGTGTTGAGACCCTTCATTTTATTTTTTGTTTAAGAGCTCCAACAATCAAACAGGTGAGAGTAGAAGTAAGAAGGCTCCCATCTGTGTAAATATCCTCACATGAGGTTACAACAGGATAGCATAGACAGAAAATTGTACCTTAAAGAGGCCAGTTTGCTATGACAAAGGCAGCTGAACACATGTTGTGAATATTAGAGTGGCTACGCAGGAAAAGGCGTATTTCTTGCCATATGTCAAGATGCTCTTGCCCCACTGCTAAACTCAATTGCAGAGCAGTTTCCGAGACACAGAAATGAAGTCAGATGTCTAATCACCAGAAATAAACATCTGTGAGTCTTCAAGGAAAACGTCTGGAGAGCAGCGTGCCAAATAGACGTCTAGCTCTTTCATCGCTGAATGAAGTGAAGGATTTCCTCCCCCCACAGAGCTCAAGGAACAATTTGTAGGACAACGTTTCAAGGAGGATTTGCGCTGTCCTGAAATTAAAGGGAGACTGGTTCATTGATGTTCGGCTGTTATTGTGTCCACCCTCTGCTCCTGACACAGTCCATCCAATTAGCTTCTTTTTGGGGGACAGGGTGTCAGATTTAGTGTTTAGTGTTCCAGTGTTGCTATAGCTCACTGAACATGCGATTATCTGAATATGCAGAAGGCTCGTCGCAGAAGTGTTGGACAGTTGTTGCTTATAAGATAGTGGGACAATATCTTTTCTTAGTCTGAGAGGAAATTAAAAAGGAAACACTTCACAGAAAGATCAGCTTAACGCCTACACTCACTGTCTGTAACTCGTATTTGCTATCCAAAAACTCTATCAAAAGCTTGAATGCAACTTTGCATATGCAGACATCCAAAATGGGCCTCTGTAGGCTGTGTTTATGTCTGAGCAAAATAATGTTTATTTGGATTCACCCCTGAAGGCAGCATTAGGTCAAGAGACAATTATTCTGTGAATCACTGAATGTAAATGATTGTAAATGAAAGCACAATTGGAATAATTCATGGGTCTGCATTCTGGATGACTCAGACAGACGTCCATGGTTGCTGATTAGTTGTTTTTGAGGCTTTTATTCAGCAGCCTCAGACATTCTGATTGACTTTAAATATGCTTTTAGGTCTTTTGTTTTGTCCTTCAGTCATACTCCAGTTGCAAGTGTTTGTGAATGGAGACTAAAAGAGCTTTTTGCAATTGAAATTGATGCGGCTTTTTTTTTAAAGCTGCATAAAGAAATATTTTTATATTAACAATTAATGTGTCATGAGTTTCTCAAAGTCACAAAATGATGCTAGTTCATTCAACTAAGCAGTTGATGGTCTTTAAGCTCACTGTTTTGCTTTTTGGCATGCAACTTTCCCATTCTGTTTCAGTCTTGCCACTGTTATTCAGCTCGTTTCTAGGTTGATTAGAGCTCTGATAAATCTACTGCACACCAGTTTAGCTAACTAGCTTCTGAATATAATGGAACAGCTACGTGGTCATGAGCCATATTTCCCTCTGGAAGCTGTGGAGACCAAAATCGAGTTGCTCAGTGCCTGCTGCATGTCTAACTATATATCCAACTGTTTGGTAACATTTCTACTAAATGACCTTTACTGTATAGTTATCTGTGTTTTGTTCAAAGGCTGTTTGCACAAAGGAGCCATAAATAAATGAATGCAGCTTCAAGGACAGTTTCTTATGGCAAATAATGCTTCACTGCTCACTGCATAAATGGATCCAACATGATAATACGGAGCAAATGTGTCACCAGCAAAACTTGCATGATGCATGAAAAATCTCATTTTCCATGGTCATGCAACAGAAATACATCACGAAACGTATTTACACAGGCTAATGACGTGACCTTGTTTGATATTCTAAAAGGAAAAGAAGTTGACCCAGTCACATTCAGCTACTCCGTCCTGCTTGTCTGTTGGATTCTGGATATGTATCGATCTTTGACAGATATTCGTGAACCAGCCGCTTTAATGCGGTTCGATTTTAAACTTGGCCAAGTCTCCTACATGTTCAGATTGCTTGAGGCTAATCAATACTTAATCTGTCTCTGTGGTGGCACAGTCCTCGTGAGTATTGTCATGATGACTGTTCCCGAGTTGAGTGTTGTCTGGTTTCAGGTGAATTCCTGAGACCTAAACTGTGCATATCTCGAGTGGAAGACTGTAATAACACATACGGTATAATGTGATAGAATACATTATTCTTACCAGTAGCAGTGATGCAAAACTGAAGGGAGCATCCATCAGGGAAAAGTTAATAATGTATAATCCAACATGTAGATATACATAATTACGACAACAATACATAAAGTCTATAAGCTGCAAAATGCAAGTGACAATTTTTCTCGGTGGTTTGATTTATCAAAGCAGAGATGTTACCGCACAAGAAGAAGCAACGATCGTTATTTATCCCGTCAGCTACCAGCCTTTTAAACAGGCTTTAATATTCCTTGTCAGCTGCTGTAAATATTGACACTGGGTTGTCCTCCTGCTTTCATTCATTCCCTCTGATGGTCTCAGTTACAGTCGCACAATGGCCCTGTATTTATTGTTCTTCTTTGTGCTATTCATTTTTACTGCTCGCTTTAAACTAAACAGTCTTTTGAGGGCATTAAAGACTAGCTCTCCTGTGCTCAAGTCACTCTTTGGCCTACTGTGCTCAAGTGTCATTTTTATTGCTGGAAGCCACAAGCTGTTAGAAGTTGCCCCTCTGGCACCAATATGTTACAATAAGATGGTAGAAGAACAGATGAGGACTTTGTTTAACAGAGTGAAGCTATTCTGTAGCAGCCGTCGAACAATTTACATGGTTGGAAGTTATGTGGACCTGTTTCAGCTTTTATTATATTTCACTTTTCATCAAAGGAGCACTCCACTAATTTTACTTTGCAGGCCATAGTTAGCACTGCTCAGGAGGAATTGATCAATATGGGTTTTTCAGGGCCAATACCGATTATTGGCAATCAAGAAAGGCAGATAATCAAGACTGGGAACTAATATACAATAAATGTAACGTGATAGCAAGGAGCCTGTCACTCATAACTGGGCTTCTTCATGAATAAGAATGACTATAACTGAAAAAGTAAAAGAGGAATTGGAGTGATTAAATTCTGATGCTTTCCTCTGTTTATGTGGGATCAACTGAGATTGATCAGTTTATCTTCTGCAGTTCTGTCTGCTGTTCTTCTTCATTTTCTTAATCTTTTACTGTTTTATGCTTTCATTGCCCACTAAGGTCCATATCCTAAAGCATTATTAGTTAATGTTTTTCAGACTCTGACTTAAGGTAATCTGAGGCTGCCTTCCAACTTAGCTAATTTCCTCGTTTGTGGCAACAGCTTGCATTTCTTGGTCAGTCTCTGCTTAAAAGATATTTCTGAGACCACACAGTGATAGTGGCTTCATCAAAAAATGATGCAGATATTCAGAAAAAAGACAAATATCGGCCACGATAATCTGCCTGGCTGATAATTGGTCTATCCCTTCTGCTCAGCCTGTTAAAAGAGCTGTGTAATGACTTTTGTAACTCCGGGAATAAACATCCCGATGATGCCATTCCAGTGTCATCAGGCTGATCTCAAATTGGAGGCATCAAATTTTCAAGAAAGCCTGAATGACAAAGAGATGCAGAGTTTGTAGAAATAAGAGACCATAAGACGAGATTCTATCCAGTTCCTTTACTGGACTCCATTGTTTTAGGAGTTCGATCCATACAAGAGGAGAACACAACAGTTCAATGGGAATGATTCATGTAAAATGTCTGGCACATTGTATATCAGTGATTTGTAACCCCCGTGACTGCCATTGTCTGTGACGAAAAAAAATGAGAACAGCATGGACACCAAGTCTGTAAAAATGATTTTGAAGGCAGCGTGTACCTTCAAGGGTGAAGAACTCATAAACTAAATTGCCTTTCAGTCTATGGCTGCAGCATCCCAACAATAAAAAAAAGGATTTGTTTATATATATATATATTTCTGTACAATGCAACCAAGCTTTAATGATTTAGGACTGAATAGAGCCCCCAGTGGGCTTTGAAATGGATATACGTGAACTTACTAATGCAGTGAAAGAGATGTATGGTAGCCATTTGAGACTGACAGATGCCTTCAGGTCATGTGAAGACTCTGTGTTGATATGTTCAGTGTATGTGTCAATGAGAGCAGGGTTTATAGCTGAAAACTGTTGTGATGTGGGAGATACAAGAAGACACATGTACAAGTGTGGTTTGA